AAATCAGAGTCAGATCCAGTCTCTGTATCCAGCTCCCAATTTGCAGGAAATACAAGGGACAAAAGAACACGTTTAACTGTGCCATGAATATGAAATTAATGAAGTCCAGGTTATGGGAAACTCTACAGGTCAAATCTCCAGATATGTCAAGAGATACATTGTAAGGAAAAGGAAAAAATGAAGGAGTAACCTGTAGCTTAAAAGATATATGAAAAAATGTAACGGACAAGAATAAAAAATAAAGATTCATATGGCAGTCCACGAAATGTAAATTTTTAGAAGGATTGTTTAATAATTTCCCCTCAATTTCCTACAGTTGTCACAAGCTAAACCTTGAAGTATATATATATATATATTTAAGAGATCATTTTACTGGGGGCTCTTATAGCTCTTATAACAATCCATACATCAATTGTATCAAGAATATTTGTACATATGTTGTCATCATTATTTTCTAAATATCTACATTCTATTTGAGCTGTTGGTATCAGCTCTTTTTTACCCTCTTTTCCCACTGAATTACATCTTAATATAAATTATAAAAGCATTCTTAAATCATCCCTCAGATATTATTCATTCAATTGTGAATTACATGCTTTATACTTAACCTTAAGGCAGTGTGGAATTGATTTTTGATTTAAGACTCAGGTTTGAATACTGACTCTCCTTTCCCTGATTGACTTTGAACATGCTACTTATAGTGTCTGAGGAAAAAAGTGGAGGTACTTTTTTGTTTAATCTCTTTTGAAGAGACAAATAGGCTATAACATCTCTCTTGCGGCTATTGGAGGATACATGACTCACTACAGGTTACTAGCACTGAGATGGGCATATAACAGGTATTCAATAAAGGAAAACTATCGTTAATTTGGTTTCAGTAGCCTTGGACTGAGGCCCAGGAATTTTGTGCTATTAAAAGCCTCCCACATCATTCTAATTGTTCAAGTTTGGGGAACAGTCCTTCCAGATCTGAAAATGTCTGCAGCTTCAAAAATGTTTATCAATGCACCAAAAAATATCTATGTGCTCAACACTAGGAGATAATTGAAATAAATTATGGTTCACCCATGTGCTATACACCTGCGCCTCACATACCAACTCTGGTTATCTGACATTTCACATTTACAACAATGGTGAAAAATCTATGACCTGACTTTCGCATGTCAACAACATATATCTGTCAGCAATGAATGTCCACGGTGCATGGTGAGGACAACACCGGCTGAGATATTAAAGTCATGTGCCAGTCTGACTAGGCCATGAGTCTCAGTGGCTTGGTGAGATATTAAAATTATGTGCCAGTCTGACTAAGCCATGAGTCTCAGTGGCTTGGAAGTTCTGTAATGAAGCAATTTGGCAGTTGCATAATAATAGAGTCATCCTATATTTTGTGATCTGATATGGTCAGCCTCCATTTTTGCCTAATGCAGAGTTTTGCATAAGGACCTTTATCTTTGGAAGCTAACCATGCCGTTAAAGTGGGGTATAATGTGTCGCCATTGACATAAAAAGTAATAACTAGCACAGCACTAATGGAAGCCAGACACTATTCGAATGCCTTAGGAATATACTCATTTAGTACTCCCACATGAGTAAACTAAGACAAAAAATGACTTGAGTAATGTGCCCAGTGCACACGTGGGCCAAGAATGAAACCCTCGTGGTCTGATTTCACCTTTAATGTGTTCTTCATGACCACACAGTGATAGTGTGCAAATAAAATTATAGAAGATTTAGGAGGGGGCTTCAAAAAGTTCAGGAAGTGTTTTCATGATCTTTTAATTTTATTTTCCACATATAAAGCCTCATGTAAATCTAAGTATGATATGCAAAGTTACCTACAATCCACTGGTAAATGAAAGAAAATGACAAAATAACATTCCCAGTGATATCTGATCCCATTTTTATAAGCATTTAAAAATACATAATTGAAAATTATTAGAAGTCATATATATCTCAAAATGTGATCAGGATTGACCTCTGAAGTGGACAGGTTTTATTTTCTTCCTTTTGCTGACTGTATTAATTTTTTTTCACATTTAGCATGTTACATATGTTACTAAGAAAACAAACAAAAATAATCAAAGAAAAGAAGAGGGGGAAGAAAGAGCTGGAGGAGAAAAAGCAGCCTACCAAGACTAGAGCAGCCTGCACTTGGGCAGGAGGTGGAGAACCATCTATGATTTATTAATTGCCTGAAAAGTGGGTGCTTCAGACCTAAAAGGACCTTATAATAAGCATTTTACTGGGACCCTAGAGTGAGCATTGGGGCAGACGACAGTCGTAGGGAGCAACCTTGACAACACACAGCTTGATGCTACAATGCCCTGGGAATGATGAAGAAAGTCCAGCCATGCTAAGCCACTTCTATTTTGGACAAGAGATGACGAGAAGGAAAGCAGAACACAGAAGGAGGTGAGAGAAAGCCTTCCAGACAGCAATGCAAAGAACCTATGACCCACAGGGATTTGCTACGAGATGCACTATCCTTTTGAATCCTAAACACAAGAAGTAGAAATATGCACAAAACAGAGGAGGCCAACCTTGCACCTCAGTATGAGAAATAGAAGACCAGACTAGAACACCAAATGATCTACTTTGCTCCCTCTCTCCCCTTTCCCCAATTTATTGCTATTATTATCACAAATAACTGATCCCCCCAAAATTTAGATAATAATTGGAAATGAAGCAGGACTTAAGTTTAGAAGCTGCAAAATAAAAATTATTAGAAAACTGGAAATAAAGAACATACATTACTGAAGAGATTACATAAGAAAATGCACAAGATTTCAAAGAGATGACTTCTAATACTCTTCAAAGAAAGCATGAGCTCTCTTTTTGAAAAAGACAAACAAGAGACAGGAGTGGGATAAAAATTCCCCCCAATCATCCAAGAGACCAGGCTGGGTGACTGGTCAGAGAGAGACTGGTGGGACCCATGGCCAAGGCCTTTAGTCACCCTTCAGTTCTAGAACTGAACTGAACTCACTCACATGTCAGACTAATCAGCCACTGAAGACCAAAAGGGCAGAAGTAGCCCAAGACAAAGTTCCGAGCATTAGGAAAGAAGAGGAGAGGAAGAAGGAAAGAGGGAAGAAGTGAGATTGCATTGGATGAGCTGAAACAAAATGTGTGTGAACCATTGAATGTAAGACTGCCCATCTTCTCTGTATACCTTCACCTCATTCACAAGAAAACGTTTTTAAAAAAACTGGGAAGTCATGCTCCACTTCTTTGAAGTAAAAGTATCTATATAGATTATTTGGAGTTCTTCTGCAAGGTAGATGTGCCTGTTCTACTTCATTTATTTATTAAATCACTTATTTATACTAAAAAAAGAAAATGGAAGGGAAAAGTTAGCATTGCGGAGATCAAAGACATATTTAAAATGACAAAACAAAAAAATTTTTCAAAATTCAATCATGGGTGATTCGAGGAGATAAGCATGAGAAAGCACACAAAACAAAGTGGAAAAGGAAAAGATCATTACTGAGAATATAACAGATAGAAAAAGGAAGAGGCTTCGTCACCAGAGCAAGACTTAGATGAGTTTACTGAAGGTAAACTCAGGGCTTCTCCTTTGCGCGGACTCCCTCTAAGCGCCAGGAAGGTGCCCTAGCAATGTGCCCAGATGGCTTTACAATGTTTTTGGTAAAATTGTAAAGAATGAAACGTAAGCTGCTATTAGTGCCATGCCGGTCTCATGATTTCACAAAAACAGCCGTCACCAGGGGAACTGGTAAGAGAAAGTATGAGGGTGCTAATTTTCTCAGCGCAATATAGGATTACAAATTTTGGAGTCAAAAACAGGACTCCAAACCAAAAAGGAAAAAACAGACGACCAACACAGATGTTGGCCAAAGACGTGAGGGAAATGAGAGCCAATAAACGCATGAAAAGATGCTCCATTTCTTGTACATGGGAGGCACACAGTGAGTGACCAATCTCTGCCCATCAGAATGCTTAACATGAAAAAAGACAGACCTTACAAAGACACGGTGGGGCTGTGCAGCCGGGACCTGTCTAACAGGGCTGGCAGTACTATGGGAAGCTGGGAGTGTCCGCAGAACCTCGCATACTGCTCCTAGGCCTAGGTCTACCAGAAGTACATACACAGGTTAATCGGAAGACACAAGCATGCTTTTGGCAGCACTATTCAGACCAGTAGAAACAGCAACATGCCCATCCACCATAGAATGAATGAATAAATATCCCCATAAGCAGTGATGACTAATGCTATACAATCATGCAATTATATAATGAATCTAACGAACATAATGAGGGGTAGAAGAAGCTAGACACAAAGGAATAAATCGTGTATGTTTCCCTTTACATAAATGAAAACAAAGGCAAAACTAAATGAGTGGCGGCTGCCAGAGTGCCGGGCACTAGATGTGGTTACATGTGTGTTCTAGTCCCACCACCCACTCTGCCCGGAGCCATCTTTTGTTTTAATAAATAGACAAGAAGATGGTCACCAAATGGTATAGTTACTTCCAGAGATGAGCTTTTTATAATTTTATTTCAGGATTTTGCCACATACATATGTATATTCTATAAAGAGTTTGAATGGCTATGGTGAGCAGGTATGTGTATTATTTCAAATAACCATCAAAATAACTGTTTGAAGAAAGAAAGGCCAGTCTTATGTTTTATGTCCACATTCTATATTCTATACAAGATCTGATTAGGGTAACGGAGCACCATTCAGCCAGTTGGCAGGCAGGCCATCTCTGCCTCTCATCTCGCAGTAGGGTGTGTGTTCATTTTGGCAGCTTGTGGGGAGCTTTCTGTTAACACTGAGTGTACTATGTCAGATGATCTTATTGGGGAGAAAAATTCTTAGAAACTTTACAAGGTTTTATGTCTGCTTTATAATTCCACAATGTGGTTTTAAGAGTAACAACTTTAATCGTGTTTTAATGAATTTGTTTTAATAAAAAGCAGAAGGAGGCACCTTAAAGTTCCTGCACCAATCTTTCCTTCTTGTTGTTTTTTAGAGTCTGATATTTCTTGTTCGAGACTGGAGTTTCCCATATGAGTTTTCATATGGAGCCGATGGTGGTGCCAAATTCCTGGAAAAACGCCTCAAGGTTTGTTAGCTGTGTAGGTGCATGAAATTTTCCTAGTAGGATCTAAAAGATATCCTGGCTACTCAGTAGCTACCCTCTCAGTTTACCGTCATGGTATCTTTATGAACAAACCAAGATTGATATTTAATAAAAGACTAGTTACAATTTGAGTTACTGCTCATAACTTTGATACAGATAGATTATTAAGTCTACTATTCCTAACGGTAAAGGTTTACTTTGATGAATTAAATTAGTTCAAGACTATCACTGTAAATATCTAGATTCAAGGTTTGTTTGTTTACTTTGTAGAGCCTTAAAAGCCAATTTAAGAGAACTACTTAATGTTGAGATCCACAAAATCAACTTTGGATATTTTACTAATAGTTTACAGCAGTGGTTCTCAACCTGTGACCCCTTGGTGGTCGAATGACCCTTTCAAAGGTGTTGCCTGAATCATAACAGTAGCAAAATAATAGTTGTGAAGTAGCAACAAAAATAATTTTATAGTTGGGGGTCACCACCACATGAAGAACTGTATGAAAGGGTCATGGCATGAGGAAGGTGGAGAACCACTGGTTGACAGGAATTAACATCATAAGGCCTTCCACTTTTTACATCACAGTAGTTCAAGATAAATTGCCCATATTGAGCAAATACCCCGAAATACATAAGGAGAAATTATAAATTGGGGGCGGGGGGGGTGGAGGGGAGTTAAGATGAAAAGAAATTCCTTGATAATCATGGATCTCTGAGCTTACCTCTTTATGTTTATAGTTACATTTAGGCTGTTTATATGAAAAGCTGTCAAACACACACATACCTCGGCACTAATCCGTTCTAGAAGGAGTGTCGAGATGCGATGCAGTCGAGTTCCGAATCAATTTTTCCATAAGAAACAACAGATCAATCAGTTCTCGACCACCAAGTTTTTACCCTAACCTTCCCTTTTAATACAAAACGTTACACAGAAATTTCAAATAAGTTCAGAGTTAAATAATATAATTTATATAAGAAATACAACATTAAAGAAGTTTCTAACAACTATAGTATGGCCCATACCTTGAGACTGATGAGGATCTGGATCTGTGGACA